ACTGCAGGATTTGGCTTTCAGTGCCGCTTAAGTGGTCAGGCCCATTTAAGGAGTTCTGATGTTTCACGTGGTTATCTCGCAGTAAAGATTTCCATCATCTGAAGTGCTTGTCCACCTAGAGGTGTTATACTAATGCAAGCCTTTGGAAGGATTTGCATCAGTTTTAACTGTAATGAATGGGGTATGGTAATTAGAAAGCACTCACACAAATCCTGGGAATTAAACTAGCTTAGGTGCTTATGATACATTAAGAATTTATACTTCTTATGACCTTGTGATTCCTTCTTGCCCGATACCTTGGGGAACTGAACACCAAAAGCCCAGAGCCTCGTGTAACAGTCACACCTGAGAATGATACAGATTTGCTGGGACAATCTGTACATACTTCACCTAATCAAGCTTTAGGAGTATCCCTTCTTTACTTGATTGTGGCTTGGACTTTAGTTTACTGAGAATTGAAACTTCTGATTTAACTTAAGTCTTTGGGCTTCGTGAAGGTTATCAGGGTGAAGTTAAATGGCATAGATACCGAAGAGTCAGAGTAAAAGAGAGGGTATATGCGACAGCGTGCTCTGGCTGTGTCCCGTCGCACCGTGGGTGGTACACCTGCCAAAGCCGGTGGTCATTTGGTCCTTGGTCATCATGACCTTGCCTAAAGGGGAAGATGTCGAGGTTGAGCTGTGTGTGTTTGCAGTCCTCAATAGGAAGAGTAAATTTTATCATTGCTAACTCCTAGGGGCCAGTCGTTTGCCTTTGTGGCTGATCCCTGGTTAGCTCTAAACCCACACGGTTTAGTCTAATTTCAGCGAATGGACTTAAATCCTATAGTTCAAGTTTTGGGGATATGTGTTTCTTAGGCTCCAGAGGATTTGCATTTTAAGTCCATTACTGCAGAAAACGTAATGCAGTTTATCTTTCCAACTGTGCTGCAGGATCAAAAGTTATTTGGGGAATAAGACCAGCATGTAACCACACCAGTGTTGTGCCACGCTTACACCTCTCAGGAGGTAAAGAGCGGGGTCAGAATGACTGCACAATCGAGGCAGGGAAACAGGAAGGTTCCTAGAAGGGAGCAGGTTGCGGCCAGAAAGGTAAATTACTACAGGGAAGATAGAGGGTGTGAGCGCAGAAAGTTGAAGTTGCAATTGATTAGGTGATTACGTATCCAAATTGCATGCCTAGGTCAAGTAAATATGAGAAGCATAATTTGCGAAGAAAATATGTGGACTTTGACATGTAATCGCTGCTAAAACATGAGGCTGTAAGGAAAACTTGGGGATAATGTGGTAGAAGTTGCTACCCACTAGCTGAGTGTGTGAATTTGCAGAAGGGCACCTTTCTGTGCCAGCTCGTTACGTGGAATCTCTCAGTGAGTAACCGTGGTAGCATCAGTCCGCAGAAAGAGATGCGACATCGTATCTGCTGTGCTGTAAATGTATACCTATCTGCACAGTTACTTCCCCCATGCAGACAAGCCTTCTGTTATAAATTATGCAGCTAAACAGTTGCCATACAGAGAGGGCGTAGCAACAGGAGGAAGGTTTTGTAGCACAGAGAGCATCGGCCAGAATTTCAGAGCTGAGAGGAGCCGGTGATGCTGTCTGTGCACAGGAACCTGAGGGCACAAGAGTGCAACCATCGCGGCAGCGTTCTCTTGGCAATTACAGGATCAGAAGAACAACACTGGGTGTGTAATCTAGAGAAAGAAAAGTACTGACCGAGTTCGTTCTGAGAGTACGGATGGCTGTACTCTTGAGAGGTTTAATGGGTGGTGACAGCAAACAAAAAAATTTTTTAGGCTATTTCTTCATTGTGCCGGTTTACTGCCAGACAAAAATACGAACTAATTTTGTTCATGTCACAAATGTCGCACATTATCATTATGGGAACGTGAGGATAGCAGAGGCTAAACCTTTTAGTTAACAAGTTATCTTAAAAAAGGATTTTCTGGCAACATATTTAAAATATTTATTATGTTTTAGTTGAGAGAATTTGTTAATGTCTAATGATTTTAGCCACCCCTTAGCTGCCTGGTTAGCAGTCCATCATTTGTTTGGTCATATGAAGGTTTTTAAGCAGGGCTCAGAGCTGCACCTTGTAAAAAAACCCAACCCAAACCAAACCAACAAACGCTTTCAGATGTTTTCTAAAACCACATAAATCAATGCTTGAAATTTTCTAAGCAGAATAGAAGCATGAATGTTATGTTCATGATCAGAGAAAAGTGATAAATGCTGAATACATCAGCTCACTTTTCATGCTAAATGGCCTGTAATATTTAACAAGGTGAATACCATAAGGTACGCATCGTAATACTGCGTTTGGTCTGCTTTCAGCTCTAGGAACCAGACTATTCTTGTAACCCGTTCCTGTAGCATACAGACTTTAATATAAAATGAGTAACACAAAAGTGGATGGATTCTGAAAGACCTCAGAATAAGTCTGAAAACAAACTAAAAAACGTCAAATACTCTTTGTCTGTATTAATGCTTGGATTCTTTGCAACTCGTAGAGCCAGCGTATGAGGCACAGCAGCCATTCTGCAGAGAACTCTCCAATTGAGCGACGAAGTCTAATGACCTCAGATGAAAATTATCACAACGAAAGGGCTCGGAAGAGCAGGACCCGCTTGTCTTCCAGTTCCCAACACAGCCGAGATCACTATCCTCTAGTGGAAGAAGAATACTCTGACTCATACCAGGACACTTACAAACCCCATAGGAACCGAGGATCCCCTGGAGGATACAGCCATGATTCACGACACAGGCTTTGAGTTCAAGAACCTGGGGAAAAACAGTATTCATCAGTTGATAACTTGCCATAACGTAGCTAGGAAAAAAGAAAAAAATCATCTTAATTTGGCAGAGGTAACGCGGTTATACTGAAGTTGCACTCTGCTGTCATTTGATGTTAAGTAGGGGGCAAAAAAAAGTTACCACGCCCTTACATTTATGCCCGATCATATAGGTTGTTTTTTGGATTTTTATTTTAGTAGAGCGTTTGCATTTATAGCCATACTTTTTCATGTCGTTAGATATTAGACACATCCGTTTGTAATTTAGGGTAATTATCAAGGCACTTATAAAATAATTTCCTGTGCTGGAAATTCCAAATGACCAGTTCCAGTTGGAACCAATTTATAAACCAATTCCTGTTGGAATTTGGGTGAATTGACTGGAAAGTCGACTTGATCATGTTGCAATCAATCGAAGAAAAAAAAAAAAAAGAAATGAAACATCTGAAAATTACAAACCACTAGAAGCCAGAAAGTCAGCTACAGTATTTGTTTGCTGGGAGCTCAATTTACATTTAAAGTTAGAATAAAAGGGTTTATTCTAACTACTTATTTCCAGAATGGCTTTTTCAGACAAACCAAATGTAAACTATTGAGAGTGCCAAATATCACAAATTATTGCAGCAGTTACAAAATACTTTCCAGTTTGAAATTATTTTTAGACCTGGCATGAATGTTGCAGCAAAATGATTTCTTTAGTTTAGCCAGTACTGACATTTTTGTTGCGGTCAGCAGTGATGAACTATGACAGGATAAGGGGAAATAGAAACAGGAAAACGAACAAACTTACGAATAGTTTGTATGGTTAGAAGTTGAGAATAGTCTTTTGTTTTTCCCCTCTCGTTTACCTGAATACAGCTAGTAGTCCCAAAATGGAACATTAGTGTATAGATACGTAATATTTTTTCTCCCATTTTTAGTATTCTGCCTTTTTAATGGAAAACAATACACTCTTCTTACCCAGTATGTAGAGTACCTACATTCCAGTACATCTGAGTACCTTCCTATGTGTTACATCTTTCAAAATCCAGCTTTGAATGTCTGAAAACTCCAGCATCGCGCAAGAACTCTCCAGATGGGTTTAAATTTCAGTAGTGATATCTGAGGGAAGGGGGCAGGGTTAAATACTCGTAAACGATGAACATTTAAAATAACATATCGGCCGGAATTAGCTTGCAATAAAAATGGGAGTATCAGAAAAAAAGCTGCTCTCAGTAGAGCTGACATTTTTGATTCAAAGAACTACGATGAATCTTCGGAGATATTGCTGCCTTACTTCCCAACAACCGCTTCTTTTCACCTACCGAGTCTTCAGTTTCTTTAAATAGATAAATTTATGTGATTGGACCTTATGTCTTACATGATCAGTGAAGCCTTAGATCCAGTGTGATTGAAAAATTTACCATAATTGACCGTTTTGTACAGCCCACTAATGTCTTTAAGCAGAGACTCCTGAAATTCCCCACTGCATGCATTTTCTAAAATTGACAGAACTATGCTGAACGTGCATTTTTTTAATGCAAGTTCATGTCAAAACTATTTTTTCAAAAATGAGGATCATTAACTTTTGTATTTGCTTATTTTCTTCCCAAACCCTGCTAAAAGGAGGCTTTAAAAGCATGTAGCACTAAATGAATTTCCTGAATATTACGGTTTCTTCTACTTTCTGGACCAGCTGGCCAAGATCGCTGGTATTTTCCACCACCGTTGAGTCTGGTTATCTTCTTGATGTTAACGATGAGAAAAGTGATTTGTCTCATATCTGGTACAACCAAAAATGATGTACATCTCTAGCAGCATTAAAAGATTGCAGATGCATGATTAAGTTTTTAAGCAACCTCACTGCCTAAAAGGCAGCCTTCAACGCCACTAGATGATTCGAATGGGCCAGTTACCAAGGAAAAAATGAAAATATCTGCATCCATTGGAGTAACGGAGTTAAGAATGGATATGACAGGCCTGATCCTGTTCGATTTTCTCAGGCTGAATGCCTGCAGATTGCATTCCAGAGCATTTAGGCTGAGAAAGCACTGCAGGATCTGGTCTGGGAATGGTAGCTTCAGCTGCCTTCTCTTAACGTTTTCTGCTATAGCACAGTGGAGCATACTCCAGTAATTTTTACAAACCTTTGTTACGTGTACAGCACACATACCTGCATGAGAAAGAAGGCATTAGGCGAAACATTTTTTCTATAAGCTTTAATAAGTTTCTTGTTTGTGTGCATTAAAGTATTAATTGCAAAGGATGCACTGAGATGTATAAACCTAGATTAGACAGCTGTTTATCTTTATTCTGTGGTAGCATTAGGTATCAGATCATTTAACTGCTTGAAGATATTTGCATTTTAATGGCAGGTAGCTGCGAAGCACCTACATATATTTTCTAGTAAACAAGGTTACTGCTTTATCATTTCCTAGACAAAAGTGTCATTTATTTCTAGAGCCTTTTGGAGCCTTGGTTTTAAGTCTTCCATGTCATGCTAGTAAAGGGAAAGATCGACACAACATGTATGCACAAATTCCATCACCTGCAGCATCTGAAGTGCCAAAACTACTTTGTTTGTTCTAATAAAAACAAGCTTGTGAGGGAAGTCGTGTCTTGTCTTGAACGAACACATCGAGTTCCTTTATTACGTGGGTTTAAGTTTACTATTGTATGTAAGTAGTTTACCCTCTCCTCTCCCACTGCCCGTTCCATTTTAATGTAAGAAATCAGTTATAAGTGGTCCAGCAGGTCTCCTTGCTTGCTGGTTTTTTTCTTCTTTGAAGATAGATACATCTTTAAGTACAAATATACCGAACGTGCTGATAGATTATTAATTTATTCTAGATACAAGCTATGGGAACTCTTTATTTTAAAAAGTAAATTATTTTTAGGAAACAACGGTAATCAGTAAAAGCTGCAATGTTGATCAGGACATATTAACTCATAGTATTTGTATTAGAACTTCAGCAATGCTAGCCAGCTGTATTGTGATTTATTATGCAATGGCGCTATATAAAATTGTGAAGTTCATGTATTCCTGAATGAATACGAGTAAGACTAATTTTCCAGTCCTCATACCATTTCTTCTTGTTATTAAAATATTATTAAAGATCAGAGTTCTGTTCCTAAGCTCTGGCTTATACAGAGGATTTTTAGAAATGTTTATAAAAGCTTTGTTGTTGTTGTTGTTGTTATCCACGTTTTTCCATTAGGACACTTTTGGATTAATGATAATTTAGCCAATACAGGTGATAACAACAATCTTAATAGCTAAAGACAATATATGTCAGTGCATTCATAAGTTTGTGAATGAATTAACAAGGTATTTTAAAAATCTTGAAGCCACTATGAAGACAATTAATTGTTAAACTTTTAATTTAAAATACTTTGGCAAATTGTATTTAACAGATGTACGGGTTCTTTTACTGGTTCCGTAGATTAACATTTAGCCCATGGGATGTGCAACTCGCAACTGATTATGTTTTCTGAGTATATTATGAAATTAAGTTTAAAGGGATGCAACTAAAGCTGTTCTAGATCAGATTTTAGTTTATAAACAGTGGGCCAAATTAGATGATCATTTTCTAAACAGGTCGGCCTGGCAAAAATCAGTTCCTCTGCTTGAGAATGGATAGCGCAGTCTGGCCCGACACCTAGATTTTATCCTGAAAAAATCATCGTGCCATGGAAATCAGGTGGCGCCCCTGATTTTGTACTTGATAAGCAAGAGCAGTTTCTGAAGCAAGTGCTGTTGTCTCTTGCCGGTCACCCTACTTTTCAGCTACGGGGCACTCAGCCTGCTCCTGACACCATGTCTTTTTGACTTAACTCTGATGGACCCAGATAAATTAAGCGTGCTTGGGATTGGAGGTGGCTCTGTGACTCGGCAGACACAGTTGCCAGCGATCGTACTTGGAGCGTTAGTGTTGGGTTTGCTGCAAATAGGAAAACATTTCACTGTGTTTTCTCCAGGTTTGAAATATCTGAAGTTGATATTTGGGGGTTTAATCTCTTGTGCTCCTTGCTTTTAAAATAACGTTTAATACGTACTTAAGAAAGTGAAAATTACAAAAAGGAGGAAAGGGAGCTGTAGGAATAACAAGATGACGGTAGTTCCTCTGGATGTGCGTAGGCCCGTAACTTCCAGTGCCGCTTGACTGCAAATCTTCTGAATTCAGTTTGGTCTCAATACCGTAGACTTCTCTGAAACGTCCCAAAGTGTCGTATCTTCACTGAATTACCATTCTCAAAATAATATTGCTAATACTGTTACTTTATAGCATACTGATTTGGGTAAGTTAAGGCTTTCGTGAGTCATTTTTTCTTTAAGAATGTATTAAATGCGTCCTCCGCTATATTTTGTTTTCCAAGTTCAGTGCCTATGAAGCCTGTCCTTGATTCCATGGTCGTCTCTTTTTTCTGGAGCCAAAGCAATTGGACACCACAAAAGAAAAAAAAATCAAACACATATTTTGTAAAATACCATTTATACAAATCTGTTCCCACTCCTAAAGATCTGTATTTTAAAATTGGGTTGTATTACCCCAATCGGTATTAATACAAGTTTGGGTACGTGGGGTTCTGCTATCATGTATTTTGTTGCAGTTACCCCTCGGTCCTTCAAATAGTGGTTCTACAGAGAGTAACAAGACTGCAGGATACTGTAACGTAGCCAATTTTAACTCTGGGGAATCAAGTTCCCGCTATCTTTAAAATGATGCCAAAAGAGAGTGTATTATTTGAAAAGTCATCATTTGAATAACCTTTTTTAGATTGTTATTCAAGTCCAATTTATTTTATATAGAAAAATAAAGGTATGTCTTTAAAAATAAAGGGATGTTTTAATAATGTTGTAAAATGTATGTAAGGAATTAACTCGGAGAAAGAGCTGAAAATGCTACTTAGTACTGAAATTTGTGTTAAGATCTCTTTCGTGATTTGTGGAATCCATTTAAGAAGTCAAGAGAAATATTGTAATTGAATCCATATAGAGAACCTTGGGAGAAGGTAGAAATCATTTTAAAATGTCAGCAAGAGTGTGTCACTCCTTTATTCCTTCGAAAGCGGTGAAACTGGGAGTAGCAGTGGCTTGGTCTCGGTGACGTTTAGTAGACCTGCCTTTTCCCCTCAAATTTCTTGGCAGTGACTTACTATCTGGACTAGATCTTACAGGTACTACTACTGGGCACAGTGTTTGGTACCGTCTTCTCCGAGGGTCAGTATTTGCGAGGTCTGACCATAAATGTCACATACTGATTATCATATGCCTTACCAATACTTCCTGAAAAACAAAATGCAATTAAATTTAACACCACAGTCCCCTTCGATATTAATTCTACTCTGTATAAGCAGTAGAAAAATCCATATAGTGAGACAATATATTGTACAGTACAGAATAATATATTTTGCCAATGATATAAAAACAGAGCAAGGAAAAAGAAGCACACTTGTAATAGCACAATTTTACAATAATTCCACTATTGCATTTGGCATTGTTTTGGAAAAAAAGGGGTAGATATTTTGATCCCGCGTCAATGGATTTATTGCATTTTTCATCAGTTTAACTTGCTGCCTGACACGTCATCAGTTTATTTCTAAGCCTTGCATTTTGCATATGTGATTCATTTTTCAGTAACTTTTATTCCTTCCATACTATTTAATGAAG